TTTAAGAGGATTCTACCAGTCACCAGAAAGTGACAGAAAGTGAGTTCATTGATTATAAATTGACTACCCATACTGGGACATTTCTGAGAGTGAAAGGGGATTCGATGAACACACACTAGGCAACAGTCCTAAACCAGGGTTTGACCCAAGCGAACGGAAGGGCTGGTTACCCTGGCTCAAGGCCATTCTCTTGTTGCGCTGTTTAGTGCCGTCCAGTTGGTTCGGATTCATAGCAATCCTATATGGGGTTTCTGAGGAACAGCTGGTAGTTTTGAACTTCCAGTCTTGAGGTTAGCAGTCCAGTGCTTATCCTACAGCACCACACCAGGACTCCAAGCCCTGGACCTGAGTCAGCCTCTTAGGTAGGTGGAAAAAAGAAAGACCTAATCTCAGATCTATAAAAAAAAAACAAAGCCCAAACTCAGATCTATAAAAAAAAACAAAGCCCAAACAACAGGTTAAGTATTGAAGATCAAAGAAAAGGAACTTAAAAATACAGGAGAACAGATGTATGAAAAGACCTGATTCTGGCAGACAGAAACCGGAGCTCTAATTTGATGGGAGCAGAAAGTCTCATCTTGTAGGTTTACAAGCATTCTTGAGAAAGAAATCAGAACTAAAAACAAAAGCAATAATCAACACTAAATAGAAGGAAACTTTTTTTGGATGAAACAGATTTTAATCTTTTCATCTAAAAAGCTTTTCTGGTGCTCACGTAGGCAATACATATACAAATGTCTGAGTTCCAGGCACAATCAATGAAGAGACCTACAGTTAGACACGTCTTGGTGGCTGAGAGGGAGAAAACTTTCATTATTTGCACATAATATAATCAGCAACCTAGAAAAAACTTAACAGAATCAAGAAATACTAATCAAGCAGGGTTGCCTTTTAGATATAGATAAACCAACAAAAGTCAATATTCTTTCTCTAAACCAACACTGTCCTATAGAACTGAGTTACAACAGTCATAGCAGCAACAAAACCAATGAAATACCCAGGGATTAAAAATTAATTCATAAGGCCTTGCTACAAAATCTGTACAAGTCTAAAAGTCAATGAATAGGATTTAAATATATCTATATTCTATGCTCTTAACGAGATAGTTTAATATTGTAAAAATGTTAATCCTCTCAAATTAATCAAAAATTTCTATGAATCCTAATGAGAATTACTGCTGAATTTAATGAACTCAATAAATACACATTAAAATTTATACAGCCGAATAAAGGTCTATGTATAGATTAATCAACCTTAACAAAGAGTAAAGATTTATTCTACCATACACTAAGAGATGCTACAATAAAAATAGTGCAAAAGCAGGCAAATCGAAAAATGGACTAGAATGGAGCACACACAGACACATATACTCATAGATGATGTTGGTGCTGCAAAACGTTGAATCGGTTCCGATCCACAGGACCTTGTATGGGGCTTCTCAGGTTGTAAATCTTGATGGGAGCAGAAAGCTTCACCTTTCTCCTACAGAGCAGCTGATGGATTTGAACTACTGACCTTATAGTTAGCAGCCCAATGCAAAACCCACTAGGTCCCCAGGGCTTCTTATATTCATATATAGGAACTTACCATATGGGCTCGAGCTCACCAGCTGCTCCTCGGAAACCCTATTCAGGGTCGCTATGGGTCGGACCCGACTCCACGGCACTTCACAACAACAACAACGAGTGACACCACGATTCAGTGGGACAAAGACAGCTTCTTTAGTACATCTGGTGAGAAAACTGGCTCATCACATGGAGGAAAATGGAACTGAATTCCTCTATAAAACCACATACATTGTTGTCGTTAACTGCCGTTGAGTCAGTTCCGATTCATAGCAACCCCGTGTAGTGTTTCTGAGGCTTTAAATCTTTTTCCCATGGAGTGGCTGGCAGGCTTGAACCATAGACCTTGTTGTGGTTTGCAGTCCAGTGCTTAACCACATAAGAAAATATTGGAGAATGTCCTTGTGACACGGAAGTCCTTTTAAAATTCCCAAAGCACAAAACTATAAGGCAAAACATCTGACTGTCAAAATTAAGGGTTCTGTGCAACTAAGGATATTAATTAGAATGCTTACAACATAGAAGAATACATTTATGTCTAAAGTTATGGATAATTTCTGCTAATGAACAAGAAAAAGGTAACAACTCTAGTAAACAAATGGACAAAGTTTCTGGAAAAACCCAAAAAGCAAGTTTTTAAGGAGATGCTCAAATTCATTGCCAAGCAGAGAAACACAACGTATGTTTATTAGTCTGGGAAAATGTAGGCAGCTGGATAATTGTGGTAGAGAGATTAGCACAAAGTAGCTCTCATACACAGCTTAAAGACACTGGTGGTGGTGGTAGTAGTGTGCCTTGGAGTCGGTTCCGACTCACAGCGACCCTGTATAGGGTTTTTGAGACTACAAATCTTTATGTGAGCAGAAAGCCTCATCTTTCTCTCACAGAACTGCTTGTAGTTTCGAACTGGTGACCGTGAGATTAACCTCCTGATCGGTAACCACTACGATAATGGAGCTCCTGGCAGAATCATTTTAAATAGGAACCTGGTACTACTTACACCAATTAAGTACACGTATATCCTGTGACCCATAAAATGTTATCCTAATAGTCGCATAAATATATACAATTTATGTACTTTTTTTTACATTAAAATGATATATAAGAAAGATATGCAAAGGGGTATTAATGATAAAAATGAGTACATGAATGAGTGAATGAGAAGGCGGCTCTCCATGTTGTTAGATCTGTTGAGTTGGCTCCCAGTCATAGCAACCTTACACACAATGGAATGTATAGATTAATCAACCAATAGTCATAAACCATCTTCACAGTGCGCCATCCTCACAGTCTTCATGCTTGAGCCCACTGTTGTAGCCACTGTGTCAGTCCCGCTCACTGGGGAGCCTCCTTTTTTCCAAGCTGGATGTCCTTTCCCAGAGCTTGCGCCCTCCTAGCAATCTGTCCAAAGTATATTGGAGGAAGTCTCACTATCCTCACTTCTAACGAACATTCTGGCTGTACTTCTTCTAAAGCAAATTTTCTTGTTCTCCTGGCAGTCCATGGTACATTCAATATTCTCCTCCAACACCTTAACTCAAATGCATCAATTCCTTTTCAGTCTTACTCTTTTTCTAGGTTTCACTTGCATATGTTGTTGTTGTTGCTAAGTGCCTTGAGTTGGTTCCAGATCATAGTGACCCTGTATAGGGTTTTAGAGGCTTTTAAATCTCTTCGGGAGCAGAAATCCTCATCCTTCTCCTGCAGAGCAACTGACAGGCTCGAATCATGGACCTTGTGATCTCAGTCCAGTGCTTACTATATGGAGTCATTGCCCATATAAGGCTATTGAAAATACCAGGGATTGGGTCAGGTGCATCTTAGTCCTCAAAGTGACATCTTTGCTCATTAACACTTTAAAGAGGTCTTTTGCAGCAGATTTGCCCAGTGCAATCAATTACTTGATTTCTTGACTGCTGCTTCCAACAACAGTGATTTGGGATCTAAGTAAAATGAAATCCTTGACAAGGTCAATTTTTTCTGTTGATCATGCTGTTGCCTATTGGTCTAGTTGTGAGGAGTTTTGTTTTGTTTTCTTTACATTGAGGTGTAATCCAGACCCAAGGCTGTGGTCTTTGATCTTCATCAGTTAGTGCTTCAAGTCCTCTTCACTTCCGGCAAGCAAGGTGTGTCAACTGCATATCTCAGGTTGTTCAGGAGTTTTCCTCCAATCCTGATGCCATGTTTTTCTTTATAAAATACAGTCTTTCAGATTATTATTTGTTTAGCATCCAGACTGAATATGTATGGTGGAAGGATACAACCCCGACACACATCTTTCCTGATCTTAAACCACACAGTATATAGCTCCTTGTTTTGTTCAAATGGCTGCCTCTTGTTCTATGTAGAGATTCCATAGGAGCATAATTACATGTTCAGGAATTCCTGTTCCTCCAGTGTTATCCACAGTTTGTCATAATCCACACAGTCAAGAAAATATCTTTCTGGTCACCCTGGGCGACACTGCTGGTAGTTATAATACCAGTGGCATAACTTCCAGAATCATAGCAAGACACGAGCCACAATACAGCAGACATATGAGATGTGGGAGTTCCTACATGGACCTGTGATAACATGGACCATGAGCTAGTGAACATAATTAAGGACACCTGAGGTCAAGTGGTATTGAAAATAATGGTGGATGAAGCAGGTGGTTTCAAACATGTTGGAAAAAAATTTGAAATACAGGCTAAAAAACCAAGTCCTAGAAGCAGTTTAGACAATAATTAGGCTAGTTCAGACATCCCTGCAATTTTAAAATGACAGTACCTTGCCATGAGAGCAGAAGAACTAGATGGCACCTGGGTATCAGTACCTAGAGAAGAATCCTGAGCAAACGAGGGAAATTCAGAATTGACGTTTAAATGATCACAGACTTGGAATTCTGGAGTCAGAGGCTGGCTCTGAAACCACTGCCCTGAGATAAACCTTAAACCTTAAAATCAAACAGTAGTGGAGCTTGACTTGTAGGAATTGTCTGCCTTTAGCATGATGGTCTTTTAAGAACTGTCTATATGGGACCAAACTGACAGCAGCCCCGTGAAGGTCACATGAGAGCGTTAGAGGGCAGAGGGTTGACATGAATCGGGGCGGAAGAACTCAGACCAGGCAGGTGGCAGTGGTAGCACAATTTGAAGAATGTAATCAATGTCACAGAATCGTACCAGTAAAAATGGTTGTATTGATTTATGTTTTGCTATGCATTTTCTCAATATGTTATTTAAAAAAAAGAAGAAGAAAAAAGCAGTGTTTTGAGGGTAATTTTGAATTTAGACAGCCAAATACATTTTTTATGTGTGAAGGCCACAGATAACAATCTGAGATATGAAAAAATATACCATCCACAATCACTGCTTGAATTAAAGACAAACTTCAAGATGATTTTTAGGAATATAGACGGAAGGTTTCACCTTTATACAAAGATGATAAATTTACCTTTTGTAGAAAGAGGACAATCCTTTCGATCATCCGGGCACGGAGTTCTTCCAAGGTAAACAATGTTCGGGGAGTACGAATGAAAATTTTGGTCTTCCCGTAAGCTACATCATCCTGAAATCCACAATGTTCTATTAACTTCCTGACAGCCTCTTTGTCTGAAGAAAGGTCATGGTTGGGCCAGGTAAATTCCGAGATCATCTTATACCTGGGTAAAAGAGAACAGGACACATTTTACTTCCTTTTCTAGTATGAAAGGTATTCATTGGATTCTGAGGTAGTGGACTGTTTAAGATCGTACACTCAGGAGCCCACTGTCTGAGTTCAAGTATGGTTCTGCCCCTTAGCTGTGAGTGTCAGTGACTCCTGCGTTTAAAACAGTGCTTGGTGTCTAGAGTAAGAACTTCACATATGTGAGCAGCTATTACCTAAAAACATACCTTTTCCTTATAGTGAATCATCATCAAGATCCACTCACTGATAGGACAAAAGCCTTTACTTTTTTCCCTTTTCTACTTATTTTAATTTTAGTTCCAATTACTAAGGATTTCTGTTTTTACCCCTTAAAAACAATCATTTGTTTTGATTTTGCAAAAAGTTTGATCTATTTGACTAATCCTGCCTTTTCACATTTCATGTCTCCCTCCTGCATTCATTCATCTTCTTGTTAAAGAATACCCTTTAGATTTTTCAGAGAGGGTATGTGAACAGTACACTTTCTGAGACCTTTGTCAAGAAGATGTTTATTTTATTCTTTACTCCCACTTTTTTTTTTTTTTAAACTCCCACTCACGTATAAACATTTGGCATGAAACAACAAATTTCTAGGCTTGAAGTTTTTTCCATTTGTTGTTGTTAAGTGCCATTAAGTTGGTACCGACTCACAGCGACCCTATGCACAAAGAATGAAACACTGTCCAGTTCTGCACCAATCTCACCATCGTTGCTATGCTTGAGCCCATTGCTACTGCCACTCTGCCAATCCATCTCGTTGGGGGTCTTCCTATTTTTCTCTGACCCTCCACTTGACTAAGCACGATGTCCTTCTCCAGGGTCTGGTCCCTCCTGATAATGTCTAAATTATGAGGGACAAAGTCTCACCAACCTGGTTTGTAAGGAGCATTCTGGCTGTACTTCTTCTTCTAACACATATTTATTTGTTCTTCTGGCAGTCCATGGTACTTTAAATATTACCTTTCAACACGGTAACTCAAATGAATCAATTTTTCTATAGTCTTCCTTATTCATTATCCGACTTCCATATGAATATAAGGCTATTGAAAATACCTTGGTTTAGGTCAGGTGCACCTATCGTCAAACTCATATCTTTGCTCTAGAACAATTTAAAGAGGTCTTGTGCAGATTGGCCTAATGCAATACGTCATTTGATTTCTTGACTGCTGATTTTGTGAGTGTTGATGCTTGACCCAAGCAAAATGAAGTCTTTGACAACTTCAATCTCTTCTCTATTTATCTTGATTATTGGTTCAGTTGTGAGGTGAAATCCATACTGAAGACTGTGGTCTTAGTCCTATTTTAAGTCCTCTTGCTTTGAGCAAGCAAGGTTGTATCATTTGCATATCACAGGTTGTTAATGAGTCTTCCTCCAATTCTGATGCCATGCTTCTCTTCATAAAACCCAGCTTCTCAGATTATTTGCTCAGCATATAGATGAAATAAGTAGGGTGAAAGAAAACAACCCTGGCGCACACACCTTTCCTGATTTTCAACCATTCAGTGTCCCCTGGTTCTGTTTGAATGACTGGCTCTTGTTCTATGAACAGGTTCCTCATGAGCACAATGAAGTGTTCTGGAATACTCATTCTCTCCAATATTGCCCACAGCTCGCCACGATTCACACAGTCGAAAAGTAGTCCTATACTGGTGAAGAAAAACCACTACTCCTGGGTTGTCTCACTTTACATTTAAAATCACAAATCTTAAACAGGCATTCAGCTTTTCCTAGTAGTTCTATTATTCAAACCTATGCTTTCCACTCTTCAAAACGAGTATTCTCATTTCTTGTAAAACCTGCTACGCCACTTTCAACCCTCCTCTCAACTCATGACCTTCACTGATAAAACGGGAAACACATCATCTTGGCCATCCGTGAATTTTCAAGCTTCCATGTATCTGTACTCATAGACTTTTTTCTCTTTTGTCTGTTGCTATGGGTGAAGTGTCCCTGCTCTTAATGTAAAGATGACAAACCCTCCACTTGAGCTTGAATTCCATCTCCTTTTGCCTTCTCAAGGGCGTTGCTATTATCATCAGCATGTCTCTCTCTCTCCCTCTCTTTTCTGCATCATGGGTTTCCCCTCTGGCTGAATCATGCCCGCCTGCATCCAAACATTTCCAAGTATCTTCTAACCTCACATTCCATTGAAGCCGCTTCGCTCTCATTCACACACAAAATTCTTCAATTGATGGTAAGTAGAAAGTACTGGACTTCCAGGTCTGTGATTCACTCACTAGCCGCTCCTTGGAAACTCTGTATTGACTCCATGGAACTTAACAGTAACAACAAACTCCAGCTCCCTCACAGAGCCCGGTAGTGTAGTGGATTATGAGCTGGGCTGCTAACTGTCAGGTCAGCATTCGACTCTGTCAGCAGCTCTTCAGGAAAAAGGTGAGGCTTCGGCTCCCGTAAAGATTGACAGCCGTGGAAACCTTCCACAGGGTCACTATGAGTGGAAACTGACTCAGAGGCACACAACCACTCTCTAATTCCCTCACTTACACTGCTTTTTAATGCTGCTCAAATCAGGCTCTGGTTCACCTTTTCTCCTGTAACCCCTATGTTTCCAAATCTAATAGTTAAAAGTGGTATCTACATTTTTCTTCTTGAAGTGCCATTTTTTTTGTTTTTTTTGTTTTTTTTATGGCATACCCTTCTTCTGGTTTTTCTTCTACTTCAACCATTGTTAACAAATCTAAATGTTGGCCTGGGCCTCTTCTTGCTCTCAATCCAGTCCCACATAACATATATATAAGCCATACACTATTGTTAAGTGCCATCGAATAGGTTTTGAGTCATAGTGACCCTGTTTTGGGTTTCCAAAGATCCAGGTGGTGGGTTTGAACTGCTGACCTTGCAGTTACCTCATCCTACAGCACCCCAGTAACTCCCAAATCTTATTTCTAGTCTTGACTTTTCAGGACCCCCGGTATGTATGTCTAATAACTACGTATTTTTACTTAGATGTTTAAGAGGTATTTCAAACAACACAGTTGAGAGAAAGATCTTGACTGTCTCCCATGCTCCTTGCTCCTCTCCCCAAACTGCTCTTAGCCAACCTTCCTTATCTCAGCAAATGGGTACCACTGAGACACTCCAGTGTGTCTCCAGTCTGTCTCCTTTGTTCTTTCTACTCCTCTCTCATCACATCCAAATCCAAGAGTACTCTTGCTAATTCTATTCCTGAAACATATCTTGAATCACCACTACTCTCACATCTACTATAATGTCCTTGTTCAAGGTACTACCATGTTCAAGGCACTACCATGATGCCATCTCTCTTGAACTCTTGCAAACACTTCCTAACCATCTCCACATAGTGGCCACGGTGCTCTTTTGAAAACATCGTAAGACTGTGTCACTCACTGCTTAAAAACTCTCCAGTGGTTTTCTGTCACACACAGCCCAAATCTAAACTACAGAGCTCGTCAGAATTTTGCTCCGTCCACCTGTCGTCTCATCTCATCTCATCCCAATTCTATGTCATTTACCATCTTCCAAGCCCACTGAACTACTTTGGGAAGCTAAAATGCCATACTTATTACTGCACTAGACCCCCCTTCCTCCCCAAGCTGGGTCCTTCCTGTCATTGTTAATGACATTGATAGTGAATATGTGAGATTTAAAACACTGCTCTTCTGATTCCCAGTTGTCAACTATCACTATAATTATTAACAATAATAGCAATGATATATAATGTCTACTGAGTGATTACCATTGTTAAGTGCTGTCGAGTCCGTTCTGACTCAGGGACCCTGTATAGGGTTCCCAAGGGGCGGCTGTTAAGTCTGAACCACTGACCTTGTAGTCCAGTGCATTAACCCACAGCGCCACACCCAATTATGGAGTCCTGGTATGATGCAGTCGGATAAACATTGGACCAAAAGGCCGGTAGCTCAGACTTAACCACCCACTCCTCGTCAACCCTATACAGGGTTGCTTTGAATTGGAACTGACTTGCTGGCACTTAACAACA